CACGACCTCTCCCCTCCTCCCTGCACGACCTCTCTCGCCCCTCCTCCCTGCACGTCTCTCGCCCCCTCCTCGACCTTTCTTGCCCCTCTTCCTTCTCCTCCCGTGCCGTTCACCGCCCCGCCGTTCCTCCCGCAGCCTCGCGCCGCCGTTAGCCGCAGAAGCCGCCCCGCCGCACCCAAAGCCGCCTCCCGCAGCCGCCGCCAGCCGCCCCTGTGAGGAGGAGGCATCCCGCACAAGATTCGGCCAGCAGGTGTTCCCTCGCCCTATCCCATGACTGGGGATGGACCAGGGAGGCGGTCGTCGCCCGTATGGTTCACTCAACTCACGCCGCCACGGATCTGAGCCTCCTCATCACGCCGTCGATCTTGGGACCAGAAACTCCTTCACCTCGCGCGTGCAAGTATGCCATCGACCTGGTCTCGCGCCAAACCTCCTCTCCCGCCAGCCGTTAACCTCGCCTCGCCGCAGATCTGAAGCATCGTATTCATATATTCTTCTTCAGGCAGGTTAGTGTGAGCCTCTGCTCCTCTCCAGGCCTCCCCCTTCAATCTTCCTCTGTTCCGTGTCTTCCTAAATATGCTCTGCCAGTCATGGTGCTCCATCGTCATAATATAACTGAAATAGCCATATTAAATGCATGGTAGTGAACTGAACCTCACGTTCAGATTTTTGTTCGCACCATTCCCCTCTGAAGTTTCTTTGTTTTAACATGCACATGATTCAGATTCAAGAGGAGGCGAGGAACTTTCGGCTGTTGATGGATGTACGGCAATGAGACCACTCAAATTCAAGAGCTGGCGGGAAACTTTGGGCCATTGATGGATGTACTTGTCAGCAAGGGTGCTGGATCCTCATTGCTTAACAAACCTATGAGAATTAAGAGAATTGTTCAAGCATCATCTGCCACTGCTGAAAGATCTTTAACTGTTAAGGTAATTCAACAGCACATATATCAAATAGAATAGCTGAATTGTTGTGCTCACCTTGTCTTTGCTTCTTGATTCTAGGTAAGAACAACTTTCTTTGAAGGAAGAAACTGTGCTGATTCGTTAGTTTCAGACATTTATGACTCGGGTGCTTCAGCCATAACAATACATGGTCGATCACAACAACAATGCTATAGCAAATTTGCCGGTTTTGACTATACTAACCAGTGTGCATAGAAGGCCCCTAACGATCCGCATGTCATGGGAAATGGTGATATATTCTCCTTTATAAAGGTTAGTATATACATCAGTTTACATGATTTACAATTTTAGCGAAGTTTGCTTGTGATCCACATTTTAACTTGTAATTGTGTAAGCAAAACATTTTCAAATAATTACAATATCCTCACTTCTCTCTAAATTTATACCAGAAAGCAAGAAGAATTGCCAGCTTAATCAGATAATACCTTTTCTGTATCTGGCACGATACATTTTAAATACTTACAACCATTCCATAATTTTAATAGCTATTTTGTCTGTCTTCTGCAGTGGCTCAACCAGAGCATATAAACTGTTATATTCACATTTGCTGCTCTTCTACGAATGTCTCACTGATCCCTCTTCTTTGATCTCAAAATTTAGATGACAATTACTCCTATCTTTAGAATCAATATATTTGGTTCATGTTCGTAGATGCGTAATGGTTGATGACTGTGCATTCATATTGTTTATGTAGTTAGTGAAAGGTCTGTATAATGCATACTTTACATTAAACTGATAGCTGATAGACAAGGTAAACTGTAGCATGAAATCGCTGTAATTCATGAGGATACATGCAAAGTCAGTATTACTTATGCTCATAGGTCCTAACATTTTTTTGTAATGCTTTTACTTGCTTAATTAATAACCTCTCTACGTCTCTGTAATAGATGCGATGTTTGATTGATCAGTCTAACAGCGTCTGATCACCATTGAAACAACCTATGCAGTGATTTGTTAAACATAATGGAACACATGGTTGGCAAGAAATGTATATACGTATATGCCCTTATGTGAAATTGTATTAAATTTCTTTGGTGCTAATGCATGACATTTGATACTTGACAGCCTTGGATATTTACTGAGATAAAAGAACAAAGGGACTTGGATATTTACTGACATAAAAGAACAAAGGGACTTGGATATTTACTGAGATAAAAGAACAAAGGGACTGGGATATCACATTTGGTGAGAGATTGAGTATTCTGAAAGATTTAACGTGCTTCTGTCTCGAACACTAGGGCTCTGCTGGCATCAAAGGCGAGTCATCTCATCTCTGAGAGTATGTAGAAATTAGGACATTTTCTTTGTCATATTTTCACAGGGAGGGTGTAATTATTGAAAACTGATGTTGGGTGTGATTATGTACAAGGAAGAAGCTTTTGACTTGTTGAAGACAGATGGTCTAGCATACCTCACCTTGATGTTGAATATGCGTTTAATGGACATTAACAAGCGTTGGATATAAACTACTTTTGCTTTCTTGGCGGCGGCTCTCAGAGGGAAGGAGCATCATGTTGTGAACATTGTTATCTTGAAGACATAACTTTCTGTTGGTTAGCTCACATTGTTTGATAAAGAAATAGTCAAATGTCATTTATGTTGCATGAGCTTTTTTAGTGGAGCTGATGCATTCTGAGGATTTCTGAAGGCTTTGGAGTTGCTAATTTGAATAGCCCGTATGGTTAATGGAAGCTCATGTTTGTGTCATCCATTGCGGCTAATTATAGCAAACGTGTGTGGCTGGGTTTTGAATTCAGCCTAAGAGCGTGTCCCCCTTACTACTCGCCCCCAGCTGTCATTGCAATCTGGTGTAGTTTGGGTTTGTATCCTTGTAAGACCGATGTTTTCATGTTACTTTTTGTTGGTTCGATTTTTGTGGCGTTAGAACCCTTCCTCAACACTGTAATGAAGATTTTGTGATTTGTGTTTCAGCAAAATACAAGCCAACATTTTTTCTCCATGATATCAGGTGTGTCTATAAAAAATAGACGCCCATCAATGCTTGAAAACGTTGCCGCTGAGGTGCAAGCTTACTAGTACTTTTCAAATCCGTTTTAAACTTCTCTAAAATCAAGGGAGCAGAGCACAAAATCCGCACTGGCCGTTAACACGTCTGTCATGTGACGGCGCGGTGCGGTGGCCCAACCGCCCACCGCGACCGTGGCCCAAGCACCTCACTCGCACCCACACCAACCCCCTACCGCGCACCCGGTCGAACACCTCGGCCGCACCCGCACCCACCACCACCACCCACCTCCGACGTGCACACGCGCCGCACTCCTCTCTATATATCCCCACGCCTCCAATCGCCACCACTCGCCGCCCACCTCCCCCTCTCCACTCCCCCCCTCCGCCGACGACCACCACTCCCCCCTTCCTCCTCCTCCTCCGCCGCCGCCGCAGCAATGGACTCCGTCGCGTCGTGGGGGCTGACCCCGCTGGCGGACGCGGACCCGGACGTCTTCGACCTCATCGAGCGGGAGAAGCGGCGCCAGCGGAGCGGGATCGAGCTCATCGCCTCGGAGAACTTCACCTCCTTCGCCGTCATCGAGGCGCTCGGCTCGGCCCTCACCAACAAGTACTCCGAGGGCATGCCGGGGGCGCGCTACTACGGCGGCAACGACGTCATCGACGAGATCGAGAACCTCTGCCGCGACCGCGCCCTCGCCGCCTTCCGCCTCGACGCCGCCTCCTGGGGCGTCAACGTGCAGCCCTACTCCGGCTCGCCCGCCAACTTCGCCGCCTACACCGCGCTCCTCAACCCGCACGACCGGATCATGGGGCTCGACCTCCCCTCGGGCGGCCACCTCACCCACGGCTACTACACCGCCGGGGGGAAGAAGATCTCCGCCACCTCCATCTACTTCGAGAGCCTGCCCTACAAGGTCAGCGCCGCCAACGGCTACATCGACTACGACAAGCTCGAGGAGAAGGCCATGGACTTCCGCCCCAAGCTCATCATCTGCGGAGGCAGCGCCTACCCCAGGGACTGGGACTACGCCAGGCTCAGGGCCGTCGCCGACAAGGTCGGGGCCATGCTCCTCTGCGACATGGCGCACATCAGCGGACTGGTCGCCGCGCAGGTATAATCACCACAAACTCACCTCGGCTTGTTACATTCAGAAATTGGATCTTGGCTTCAAGATTCCTCTTTTATGCGATGCGATCTGGTTGTTGGGATCTTAGTAGTAGGTACCTGGTTGTTGAACTTTCTAGTTGTATATGATTGTCTTTTAGCTGTGTGCATCTATTAGATCTGTGCATATTTCATAACTGGTTGGTGCTGGGTTGTTCTGAACTGGAAAATACTCTGTTTACCTGGAATGTTACTATTAGATCCCATCTAAGTAAGTGAGTTGCGCTTTGGTATCTTTCCGTAAATGTTTAGTTTCTTAAAACGTTGAGTTGTAATTTCAGACAAATGCAAGATCGAAGGATTAACAACTGTTATTTTTTCCCCTGATAGAACATGCAACAATCTGGAGTTCATACTTAAGTGCAAGTTTGTTGTATAAATAGTAGTAGTAATAATAGTAATTGTTAATCTTTGTTTCAGCGTAAATACTTGAGAGTACATTGTTTGGATATAATCAATTGTGTTTTTGCACTGATTAACCTATGGAATGACTGCTCTTATACTATCTTTAGTCAAACATATGACAAACGGCCCTGAGTCCTGGCTTGACATATGGCATGGTATATATAAATATAATGTGCTACTTGCCTCAATTGAGTACACGTTTTTCATATATTGAGCGCTCAGCTGTCTGCTAGGGTGACTGATGTGCATATTCCTTCTGTACTGTACATAGTCAGGGGAACCACTTGTTTGACTGTACTTTTCTCATGTTCTTCTGAACTCTGCTTTTCTGTAAGTGAAGAACAATACTTCTATAAGCGTAGTCATGAAAAATGCATATAGTGTACCATGTAATTGAAAAGAATGTCCTATTAATTTTTATAAAATCCTGATCATCTTTCTTTAGGTGTTTCAGGCATACTGCAATAGGTTGAAGATTAAAGAGTGTATGAATGTCGATGTAATCCTACAGTTTCTGAGATGCTTACTGTTTCCTTTCTTTTATCTAGGAAGCTGCAAATCCTTTTGAGTTCTGCGATGTGGTTACCACTACAACACACAAGTCTCTCCGGGGACCGAGGGCTGGCATGATCTTCTACAGGAAAGGCCCTAAGCCTGCGAAGAAGGGCCAGCCTGAGGGTGCTGTGTATGACTATGAGGACAAGATCAACTTTGCGGTGTTCCCATCGCTCCAGGGTGGTCCCCACAACCACCAGATTGCTGCCCTTGCAGTTGCCCTGAAGCAAACTTTGACTCCTGGATTCAAGGCCTATGCAAAGCAGGTCAAGGCCAACGCTGTTGCCGTTGGAAAATATCTCATGAGCAAGGGTTACAAGATGGTAACCGATGGAACTGACAACCATCTTGTTCTATGGGATCTCCGCCCTCTTGGCTTGACTGGTATGCCCCAGTTTATTTGTGTGAGTTGATTTTCTAGCAGTCCTATTATCACTTGTTCTAATATTAGCTTATTTCTGCAGGAAACAAGGTCGAAAAGATGTGTGACCTTTGCAGCATTACATTGAACAAGAATGCTGTCTTCGGTGACAGCAGTGCATTGTCCCCGGGTGGTGTCCGCATTGGTAAGAATCACTCCGTCTGCTTATTTGTTTTAATTACATCTGCTGATACTGCAAGCGTGAAGAAATTATTACTACCTCCATCCGAAATAGATGAATTTCTAGAATGCGTGCAGTCAAACTTCTTATTCATTAGATTGGTTAATAGAAATATTTCCACATTCACAATTCATATTTAATGAACGGGGGCTGTACTGTTTACTTCATTCATGTTGCATACATTTCAATGTGAGCAATCATGGTCATTGTGACTTGTTATTCACCGCTGTTGACGTGATAAATTTTCTCTGAACTAAAACAAGTACATGATACAAACTAAATTACTAAAAAAAAGGGCAACCTGGTGCATGTAGCTCCCGCTTGCGCAGGGTCCAGGATACAAACTAAATTACTATGACACTTTATTTGGGAATTGGGAATGACCTTTTCTATCCCTTGATAGAAGTAATTCAGAGTGAGATCTTCAATAATCTGAGAGATTTGTCTGTGATGGGATACCAGATACCTGTTCCGCAAGCCCTGTTATGCCTGTTGACATAGCTGATAGGCTTTACAGGAAGACTGTATCATCCCAACATGTTTCCTAGTTTTTCCCTGGCACATAGCCTGCTGAAATGTCGTCTGAGCGGATTCTGGCTATTGTTTTCAGGTGCTCCCGCGATGACTTCCAGGGGTCTGGTCGAGAAGGACTTCGAGCAGATCGCCGAGTTCCTCCACCAGGCTGTGACCATCTGCCTGAACATCCAGAAGGAGCACGGCAAGCTGCTCAAGGACTTCTCCAAGGGCCTGGTGAACAACAAGGACATCGAGAACCTCAAGGTTGAGGTCGAGAAGTTTGCCCTCTCCTTCGACATGCCTGGGTTCTCGCTCGAGAGCATGAAGTACAAGGAGTAGGATGATGATACATATGTCGTGGTTGTCTCCGCTAATCGTCCATACGCCATGCGCTTCTAAGCCTTCTTGGCCGCCGCGCAATGCCACAGTGCTGTGCTTCTATGAGATTTGTCTGCTCGCCCTGGAGCCCTGGATAGTTCTGTAAACGCGTCCCACCTTTATGCTCTGTTTGCCGTCCACATTCCATCATATTTCTTTCTAGGAATTGTTCGCCTGGGATCATGGAATGTCGAGTATTTGCCAATAATCTTCCATATTATTTTTGTGTATGCTCTGCATATGGGAAAAATATATGTGTTATTTTCTTTGTTGAGAAAGAAAACTGTGGTGCTACATAGTCTGATCAATCAACTCAACGTTACACTGACCTGTACCAGGATAAGACCAGAGAAAGATCATAATAACAAGTTTTAAAAGAATCACTTGGAGATTGTAGTGTAATCTGGGCATACTCTAGGAATTCAATTAAAAAACATGGAACATGCATATAAAGAAAGAAAGAAGACAGTCAGCGAAAATCCATTTCTGCACCCGAGCTCATCTGCACCTGCGCCCACGAAAAAAAATCAAAACAAATACTAGAAAAATTTAAAAAATTCCAAATAAAATTTGTGTGATAGACATTTTGATGCGTGAGGCCCGCTTCAAATTTCAAGTCATTTGGATATATGAGCAGCTCTCAGCAAAAAAGACAAATTGGGGGTCTGTAAAAATGTTTACTGTTCATGTACTGTTTTGGTTCGATTTGTCTTTTTTGCTGAGAGCTTCTCATATGTCCAAATGACTTGAAATTTTGGGCGGGCCTCACGCATCAAATTGTCTACCATACAAATTTTATTTGAATTTTTTTAATTTGTTTTGAATTTTTTATGAATTTTTTTCTAACCGGGTGTAGATGAGCCTGGGCACCAAAACGCCCTACTCGACGACAGTCAGCGGTTATTCTTCTCTTTCTCTCATAGCTACTATTCGCTGCAAGGAGACTCTTTTCTTACATCGGTCTACAACTCTACATCTCATGCCAATGGTGCCCAAAAAGTTAAGATTTTCTGCAACTTTTGACAACAATAGACAAATTTTGGTAGCACGAGAGCCTCTCTCTAGCACCTCCGGAGAAGATCCTTTTAATGTTGCAACCCATTTCACAAAGCAATGTCATTTTAATGCACTGGTTTTTGTATGGGCAGGCCCATTTTTTCGGCTTACATTCAATCCTTTTTGGGAAGCTTCTAGAACTTTCTCTGAGCCGGTTTTTTCTTTATTTTTTATTTCGTTTTTTCTTCCTTTTTATTTCTTCTTTTTTATGTTCATTTTTTTGTTTTTTGTTTTTTGTTTTGTTTTCTGATTTCCCTTTTTGATTTATATTCTTTGTTTTCTCAAATTGCAAAAATCTTTTAAACTCCTGAACTTTTTTTAAATTTTGAACATTGTTTGAAATCATGAACATTTTCTTTTCATCAGATTCCAAAAATGTTCAACAATGTAAAACATATATTCAACAAATTCAATTTTTGCTCGTCAAATTAAAAAATTATTAATCAAATTCAAAAAATGTTCATCGAAATAAAAATGGTTGATAAAATTCGAAATTTTTTCATCTCTTTTTCAAAATTTGTTCATTGCTTTTTCAAAAAATGGTCATTGATAGCAAAATTTGTTCTTCCATTTTTCAAAAAACAATGTTTTGGAATACATTTTTTGTTCATCAAGTTCAAAAAATGTTCATAGAATTTTGAATTAGTGAACATTTGTTTCAAAGTTTATGAACATTTGTTGAATTTACGATTTTTTTAAAGATGTAAACATTTTTTACGAAATCATGAACATCTTTTAACCACCACATGTGATGATTTCTGGAAAATGTTCTACAAAATTATTATTTTTCCTTAAAGTTTGAACTTTTTTGATATTCCGAATTGTTTTAAAGAATAAAAAACAGAAAAAATGGAATAAAAAGACCAGGATGCCCAACCCCGCTTATGGGCCCCATGCGCCCAATTGGAGGCCCCGTTTCAATGCTGCGGAGCATCCTGTACTACTGGGCTGGCCAGCGTATGTGGGCCTCCGTTGCCGTGCAGCTCACCAGAAAAAAGGAGTAGCAGTGATCATGAGGGAAGCTTTCAAGGTGCATCAGCGATAGTGGTGAAGGGGGTGTTTGATCCGCCGACTCTTGAAGCTCTTGCTGTCCGGGAAGCATTGGCACTTGCTGAGGATCTCAACATACAGAGAATACATGTTGCATCAGACTGCAAGACTGTGATAAATGATATCAAACAGAAGAACCCGGCTAGCTACGGGGCGATCTTACATGAAATAATAGACTAAATCTCTTCTTTCAGTAGTTGTAGTTTTGTTCATGAGTTTAGAAACTCGAATTTCGAGGCTCACAATCTAGCGAAGCATGTTTTAAGTTTAGGGGTGGGCCGCCATATTTGGTTAGAACACCCTGGTAATATCTCGTTTGTTCCTCTGAACATTGGGTCGGACTAAATAAAGCTTCGCGTGGATTGTCTCAAAAAAAAAAAAACCAGAAAGAAGGAGCGTGATGCACAGGGCAAACAAAACTGGGCCGGCCCACTGGGTGGAACAACAGTGAGCGGATGTAAAAAAGTCGCCATAAAAACGTAAGCGTTCACTTGGAGTCGACCTCGCGACCTGCATCTTGTGATTCATGCACCAGGAACTCACCACTCCTAGTGACAGAAGCGCACCGCTAATGTTATAAAGAACTAACGACAGCAACAGAAATGAAAACATTTCCTTCAAATTTTGAAGCATTTTGCAGGATTCGATTTTATTTAAGATTACGAAGAATTTCTATCAAACATGAACAATTTTTTTTATAAAAATCCGAACATTTTTTTAATTTGTGAACAATTTCTTTAAATGGGAAACATTTTGTGAAACTGTGAACAGTTTTTAGATAGATGTTTTTTTTAATTCCCGATCATTTTTCGAAAGGACCCTGATAAGTGTCACACTGACACAAACTCATGGCAACTCCAAACGTTTTTGATGGCAAGTTTAATGACACGAGGATGTCAATTTTATTTGTCAAGCATTGCAACTTTCTTTTCGGATGGCAGGTTTAGTTTTTTTTGGTTTGTTTTTTCTTTTCGGATGGCAACTTTAGCCGCAAAAAACGCCAGAGCGGGATTGCTTCGTGCCACACCTGTGGCACTTATCGTTTGAATTTTTGAAATTGCGAACAACTTTTAATACGATCAACATTTTTTTAAACATGAGAACATTCTTTGAAATTCCGAACAAGTTTTGAGACCGCGACATCTTTTAAAAATTACCGATTTTTGAATCAGTGAATAATTTCTAGAAAATGGATTTTTTGAAATTTCGAACAGCTTTTGGATATGTGATCATTTCTTGGAACACGGACATTTTTATATTTGTGACCAAAATTTCGAAAACAGGGGCATTTTTGAAAAAAAATTCAAACAACGTTTGAAATCTCCAAACATTAAAAATAATAGAAGTAAACATGAAACAGAAGAAAGAACATTCGCAGAATAATAGTAAAAGAAAACGAAGAGATGAAAAGAAACTGGTAGGCAGTCGTTGGATGAGAATCAAACGGTGATGGCTCGCTGTCATCAGTGTACTTTTTCCTTCCCTTGAGAAGAGTGGGACTGTCCATTTCTTCAGTCAAGACTCAAGACCGCATCTCAATCTCAATGAGAAGTGTTGGAGTTGGGTTTTCCTTTGTGGCTTGCGGACGGCAGCCGCGGCGCTGCAAGGTGACGTGTCTCTCCGGACTCCTCCCCTCCATCCCCACCTCAAGGCTCGGGCCCCGAGTTTACCCCATACCAATCCCCTCCCCGACCTCGTGGGTTGCAGAACCCAGCCCCAGCTCCATTCACACCCTCCCGTCTTCCTTCCTCCTCCCGCACCATACCATCAAGGTGCTTGTCTGCTTGGGGCCTTGAGGGACATAGGAAGAAAGAGGGGAGGACATGGATCGGTACGAGGTGGTGAGGGACATCGGGTCCGGCAACTTCGGGGTGGCCAAGCTGGTGCGGGACGTCCGGACCAAGGAGCACTTCGCCGTCAAGTTCATCGAGCGAGGCCACAAGGTACGCGCGCGAGCAGCCTCGTCGTCCCTCATACCCACACGGTTGATCGGCGCTTGATCCAAAACTATTCTCCTGTGTGCGCTGTCCTAGGCTCGATGGCCCCGTGATTGGTTAGAAATGTTTTGGCCGGTCAGCGTCCATGGATTCACTCTGCTCCGTCCTCTGTTTTTACTGCTTGGCAGCATGTGTTGCGCGGGCATGGTTCTAATTGTGTGGGTAGGCTTACCAGGACTGCGGATGTTGGCCATGTGCTGCTCTTTGAGTTCAGGCGCTCGAGTTCCAGGGATGAGGACTCTAGGTTCGACCTTCATTAGTTGAATTTGACAATGGAACGACGCCCCCTTTTGTTAAAGACATTGCATGGAGTTTACCCAGACTCTCTCTTAATCCCAAAGGAACCATATTCTAACAAAATAGACAATGTCTCTCATGGTAGGCCAAGGAAGTATCCAGGGCCTGCCACCCTGCCGTTGCTTCCAATGCTTCCCTCCAATAAAAATAATTGAAAAGAATCAGTGACACACACCGAATCTGCCTCTGCTGCCACATAATGTCCAATGTAGTAGGTATATGATTAACTATTCATAGCCTTCGCTTTGGTGTGGCTTTGGTTTCAAGCATTTATGCATTTCTCCTTTTGGGTCTACCTGTTGAAAGCATCTTTTATTGAAATGCGATAACAAAATCTTACCACAGTTATTAAAGAACTAATAGATGATTCACCCAAGTGATTCCACAGTTCAGGACGACATCCAACGGCTCGGAGCGTGTGGTGTGGTGGATCGATCCTAATGTTCGGAATGCTGTGTCGTGCTTAAGTAACAAACGGGTGTCAAATCCATTTTTATATACAAGGCCACTATCAAGGAGACAAGCTGCCTTGCAACATTGACTTAGAAGATATTAACTTTTGCCTTGGTACCTGTAATATGGGTTTGTGGCCTTGTATACAAAAATGGAGGGAGTATTTATGATTCATGAGTTAACTCTAAACATTTATTTTTGCTGCAGATTGATGAACATGTTCAAAGGGAGATTATGAACCACCGGTCACTCAAGCATCCAAATATTATTCGATTCAAGGAGGTAATTTCTTGGCTTCTAGGACAGTGATTGTCCCTCATATAGGCTCAAAGTTGTTTGGAGGAATTTTGTAGGATTTTCATAGGATATGATTTCTATAGGAAAAATTCCTTCAGAGCTCTTTGGTTTGTAGGAATGAGATCCTATTCCTATGGAGGAATTCTTCCTATCCTCCACATTTCATAGGGAAATAAACATTAGCCTAGACTAAATGGAAAAAATCCTATGGTGTGAATCAAAGGGCATCTCCTTTTCTATTCCTATGCATAGGATTTGAGATGCATGTCATCTCATTTCCTATGACTTTCCTATTCCTATGATTTTCCAATCCTATGAACCAAAGGAGGCCGAGTTATGAGTGTAATGCTTTAGCTCTTTACCTCATGAAATTTAACGCAGGGTAACTAGTCACATATTGTACTGATACTTCGTTACAGAAAATTGTGGCTTTGCAAGATTACGGATCTCCTTTTACTTTTACGATTGCAAGTTGTTGATCGCAGTGATTGATTTCGGAGACTTGACTCACATATGGAAACATACTAATATGGAAGTTAAGGTTATCTCTAGTGGGAAGTAGAATGTGTAACTGAAATTTAGTTCCATGTTTTGAGGCTAGGACTTTTTACTACTTTGGTGTATGTTATTTTACATCAAACATGCTGGCTAACCACTTCACTACTATTAGACTACTTGCTTTGAATTGTTAAATGCTTATCAGCTTAACATTTTCTTCCTCTTTGCACTGTTCTGCACTAGTCAGGCAAGTAAACTTATTATTTAGATTTGCATCCCCATACTTTGGATTTTTTTCAGATACCTGATTGCTTAGCTCATGTAACTAGACCATTGATGATTTAGCGGGTAATTAACCAGTAGAAAAATGACATACATGTGTTTTTAGAGGGTATGAACATTTCCTCTTGGATGGAAAGAACTTCATTTTTAATGAAACAAAAAAAACTTGATTTTTCATAGAGATGAAATTCTTGCACGGGAAGAAATAACATCTCATATGCACATTCTTGATCTGGACTACTTTAGATTCTTACCTATTTCCATTCAAGAATATATAATCTTACATTGGGTGGAGAGTTTGGAATCAACTGAGCTTGTGAATGCCGCTAGCTGTTTTCTCCCTGATCATCTTGAATTCTCGGCCTGCTTATCAAAGCTTTAATCTTCGATTCATGCTTAAACGTGCTTAGTTTTTCAGGTCGTGCTAACTCCCACACATTTGGCAATAGTTATGGAATATGCCTCTGGCGGCGAGCTATTTCAAAGGATTTGCAACGCAGGGAGATTTAGCGAGGATGAGGTAGATAATATTTGCAACGACCTTTGGAACTTCCTTCAATGGTTACATATAATTACATTAACTGTTACTTACTCATTACTCTTAACAGGGAAGATTCTTCTTCCAACAATTGATTTCTGGAGTGAGCTATTGTCACTCTATGGTACGTAGTACTCTGCCAAACCAGCTCGCAGATAGCAGCTTATGTCAAACGCTCATCACACGATATGTCATCTTTTTTTTTTTTGCCTGCAGCAAGTATGTCATAGAGATTTGAAACTAGAAAACACTCTCTTGGATGGTAGTGTCGCACCTCGGCTCAAGATTTGTGACTTCGGTTACTCCAAGGTATTCCCGCGCAAGATAATGACCTCTGAATGTTGCGTTTTCATCGCCTAAACAAGGACCCTGTTTCGACTCTTTTCATTTCAGTCTTCTGTCTTGCACTCTCAACCGAAGTCAACTGTCGGCACACCGGCATACATCGCCCCAGAGGTCCTCTCTAGAAGAGAATATGATGGAAAGGTACGAATGTTCGAAGTTTGGTCCGCTACGACACGATTTTAACGGTTTAAGTACCACATCTGAAGCATTCAGTTATATACCAACTCTTGTAATCTTAGGTCGCCGATGTTTGGTCATGCGGAGTAACGCTCTATGTGATGCTTGTCGGGGCATATCCTTTCGAGGACCCTGATGAGCCAAGGAACTTCCGCAAAACGATCACTGTGAGTGCACACCCTTCCCACCTTATCTCTCATGAAACTTTTGCATCATCTCTATCTGATGCCTCTCACTGTGTTACTAGAAAAGTTAATTGTTGGTGTCTTCCACAGAGGATACTCAGCGTACAGTACTCTGTTCCGGACTACGTTCGAGTCTCGATGGACTGCATACATCTACTGTCCCGCATTTTCGTTGGAAATCCTCAGCAGGTTATATATTCTTGTCCTGGAATAGTTCAGTTCCTAGTCATATAGTGCTCACATTTGTATCTGCGTGCAGCGAATAACCATCCCGGAGATCAAGAACCATCCATGGTTCCTCAAGAGATTGCCCGTTGAGATGACCGATGAGTACCAAAGGAGCATGCAGCTGGCAGACATGAACACGCCGTCACAGAGCCTGGAAGAAGCCATGGCGATCATCCAGGAGGCGCAGAAACCTGGCGATAACGCCCTAGGGGTTGCCGGGCAGGTTGCCTGCCTGGGGAGCATGGATTTGGACGACATCGATTTCGATATCGACGACATTGACGTTGAGAGCAGCGGGGATTTCGTGTGCCCGTTGTGATTGCTCATGAGTGGTTCAAAAGTTCTCTTGATGGTTTGCCTGTGGATGGATCCCTGTTTTGTCATGCTTCCACTAGATTTTGTTCTGGGTCACAAATTCTCTGTAGCCTACAGATTGGCTTGATGTGTAAACAGTGTAAGATAAGTTTACATGCTTATATCGAAATCAGTAGTTTTACCCGAAAAACTCTTGCTTCCCAGTTTATATATAAAGCAACACAGCTGAACTGGTACAAGATGAGGAGGGGTACCGTAAAAGAACTCCTCTAGAACAACTCCAATAGGGCAACCCAAACGGACGGCGATTTCGTCTGTTTGGGCCGGCCATACGTCCGGCGTCTGCCCTATTTTAAATATGGGTCAGCGTGTCCAACACATATGTGCCGGTGTGGCCGGCTGGCCGTTCAATTTTTGCATTGATGGAAATAGTTTGAATTGAATAAAATAGCATAGTTTTACAAACCGAATAAAAATAAAAATATTTCGCATAGTTTTGCAAACGAATAAAAGAAGATACAATTATTGGTTGTCAATATAAGTCTATATATGCTCAATCAAATCATTTCGTAGTTGCACGTGAGTTTTTCAATCACACATGTCATGGTGAAATTGGATAAACTGTTCAAATGTTGCCGCTCCTCTATGCTCACGCACAACATTTCTTATCCTGAAACTGAAACCCTTGATCACACAGACATTCCGGACGCTCATCTTCTACGATCATATTGTGCATGATCACACAAACAGTCATCACCTCCCACAGTTTCTGCGTGCTCCAAGAATTAGCAGGATACCGAACGATGCCCCATCGAGATTGCAAAACACCAAAGGCACGCTCGACATGCTTCCTAGCACTCTCTTGCTCTTGGGCAAATCTTTTCCTCTTCTCTCCGATAGGGTTGGGTATTGTCTTGACAATAGTGGTCCACCGAGGATAGATACCGTCACCTAGGTAGTATCATTTGTCGTAGTTGTGACCGTTGACAGTAAAGTACACCGGTGGGTTGTTGCCTTCGGCAAGCCTAGCAAACACCGGCGAGCGCTGAAGCACGTTGATGTCACTGTGTGATCCAGCCATGCCAAAGAAAGTGCCAGATCCAGAGATCTTGAGATGCCACGGCCTCTAGGATGACGGTGCAGGCCCTGACATGGCCCTTATACCGTCCTTGCCAAGCAGAAGGGCAGTTCTTCCACCTCCCGGTGCATGCAGTCTATGCTACCAAGCATCCCTGGGAAGCCCCTGGTGGCATTTATCGCCAACAAATAGGCTGTATCTTCAGCTGTCGGCTCTCTCAAGTACTCAGACTCAAACATAGCAATAATAGCTTTGCAGAACTTATACATGGACTCTAGGCATGTAGACTCGCTCATACGGACGTACTCGTCAATGAGATCCTCGGGCACTCCGTATGCAAGCATTCGGATGGCGGTAGTGCATTTCTGATAAGAGGAGAAACCAATCTTGCCAACGACATCCTCTTTGCACTCGAAATAGTCATCATAGTCGACCACCCCCTCTCTAATATGGTTGAAAAGAGGCCTACTCATACAGAAACGGCGGCAGAATTTTTGATGTTTGAACGAGTTTGTTGTATCAAAGTAGTCCTTTCAAAGAAGGAAATGTCCGCTCTCTCGGTTGCGATTCAAAGCCGAGAGGTGGCCCGGAATGGAGCCACGGAACAACAGCCGCTGGCTATTGAGGTGGTGATGGACCAACACGGCAGCCAATATCTCCTCCTCGTCATCGGACGATGAATCGTCGGAGTCGCAAAGGAAATTGTGAAAAAAGAACTCGTCGGCGGAGTCCATTTTGTACCTTGGCAAACTGTTGAACAGCTTGCAGGCGTCGACGAAGGAGACGGCCGTCAAAGGGAGTCGCGACGCACACGGACCAGCTAGCTGCCCTGCCAGCGTCCGACGAATGGGCCAACGTTCGACGAGCGTGCCGGTGAGGATCTAGCCGGGGCAGTAAGGCGGCTTCTTGGCCGGGGGCGGCTGTGTGGTGGTGGTGGTGATGGTGGTGGTGGTGGTGGTGGTGGGGAAGCAGTTGGCTCCCCGGCGGCAAGACGGTGGTGGCGGGCGACGTGGGAGGGGGCGGCGTTGCTGGGCGGACATGGAGGCGCCGGCAGCTGGTAGAGTCGCCGGCAAAAATGGACGACGGCGTCGGCGACGAAGAAGGCGGGCGAGGGTTGCTGTTGGATGTGGGAGACCAATATGCCACCAACCAGCGGGCTCGGGGGAGGAGAACGCGAGCACGCGCGCGTCCGTCGCGTGTCCGCGCCGACGCAAATCCGGCTCAAAAATGGGCCGGGAATAAGTCGCCCACGGATGAAAAACGGACACGCATCCGTTGGATCGGCGCGTTAGGCCGACTTTTCTGTTCATGTAGACTCAAACGAACAACGGCGAACGAAATGGGTCGTCCCATTAAAATTGCTCTTACGAAGCAGGCCAAAGATAAACAAGAGTACAAGAGCAGTCATATCCTATCAAAAAACAACCTAAATTACTACTCGTACCAAGACGTCCTCGGGGACGGGCCTCTGCCCCCCTGCCATCCCGCTCCGGAGCATGGAGCACCGATCCAGCCCATGAACAACAAGGCCATGAGTGGTGCAGGAGGCAAGCGAGATCTCCTCATGTCAGAGCTGAAGGCACTTCAAGGCAGGATCGGAACTAGCTTGTCGATGATGATGAGGCGCCGTTAGGATAAACCCGAGCTCCACGATGATGCCTCTGCTGGGTTGAACCTGTCGATGACGACGAGGCGCGGTTGGGACGAGCCTACGCTCCACAATGATGCCTCTGCTGGGATGAGCTTGGGCTCCACGATGACGCTCTCAAGAGGTCGACGATGATGTGCATCACCTCTGCCGTGACCGCATGGGTTGCAGCTGCGGACGTCTAGCAATGCCCGGGCGACAGCCGGAGAGGTACAAAAACAATGGCGAACGAGAAGGGTGCGGATGTAGAGCAAAGGGGGAGCATGGACGAAGTGGAAGAAACGTGACACAAGAGGAGGATTTGAGTGGGCTGGGGGTGTAAGAGAGGAAGATCAAATCAACACAGATGACAAACCTTCTCTAGTTTGCGTCCAGTTTGTTATAAACACGACATGCAATAAAAGAGAGGAAGATCAAATCAACACAGATGACAAAAAAATTTAACGAGGAAAACCCCCCTCAAATGTGAAGTGTAAAAGGTAAACGAAATATGTATATGGCAACCGGGTGGCAGATTGCGAAACTGCCACACGCATCCAGCGTCGTCAGTTCCCTTTTGATCTCCTTCCTTTCCCGCACGACCTCCCGATTTCGTTCCTTTCCGCATGACTCCCGATCTCCTTCCTTTCCCGCACGTCCTTCCCCACCGACCTCCCCTGATTTCCTTCCTAATTTTCGTAATCGTCAATTATGACCCCACGCGCCTTCCTGATTTTTGACAAAAATAATGCTTGGACTAGGATTTGATCTCTGTTTTGCAAGTAATCAACAAAGGGAGCTTACCACCTCACCTATGGCACTCATTGTTGAACAAGCTAAGGAAAATACCGTTTTGACATGTTTTTGCCTTTAATATGTTAGCACTGAAAAACTTTTTGTTTCAAGCATCGTGGTAACTTCGATCATTGGAATAAATTTGTTGAGCCCGCCCCCCGGCAATTTCTGTAAATAGCACGATAACATTCACGCCATTGACATGATAATTTAGATACAAACATCGTGGTAATTTTAACCATTGGGGAAGACAAATGTGAAAAGATATCCGATGATTTATGTATAAATAGATGGTAGTATACGCAGCGCACATCTGATAACTATGGTAGAAACACCATGGTAACTTTGACCGTAGGGAATATTTTTTTTGAAAAGATACTCCGGTATCTTCTGTGTAAATAGCACGGTAGTTTACCTCCCTCCCCTGGCATTTTTATGTGTATATAGCATGAAAACATATGCACTGCGATAACTAAACACCATGATAAGTTTTTGACCCGTGGGGGAGGGGGGGATTTGTTGCTGAAACATCCCCCTGATAAATTTTGTGTAAATAGTATGATATTTTAAGCACTACGGGCTTGATAGGTTACCTAGAATCACCATGATAACTTTTTGTTCCGGAAAAAAGTTGTTCAAAACATCCCCAATAATTTTTGTGTAAATAACATGATAATATAAGCACCGCATAACCGATAACTTGCAATATAAACATGATGGTAACTTTTTTACCAAAGGAAATAAGTTGTTAAAAACATACACTCACCTCGCGCGTGGGCCTCTTGGATGAACACAACACATGGCGTGCCACGGAAAAGTCACATAATGTTTAATGTCATGAGGGACACACGTGCTATAGGCGTGATAAGTTACACAAAAACATCGTGGTAATTTTTAACCTACGGAAAAAGCTACCGAAACACACCCAGGTTTTTAGGTGCAAGTATCATGATAATATACGAATTGTAGACCCGGTAACTCATGTACAATCCCCCATGGTAACTTTGACCCTTAATTCACTAAATCGGAAGAGGATACAAATGTTAGAGAGTTACAACAGTGATTTTTTCCCTGCGAGCTGCGGCGGCTTACAAGAGGTACATATAGCATTCGTGACCTAGGTTGAAACTGATTGGCTCGGCCTAAGAATTCAGACAAGCAGAGGTGTTCACGGATAATTAAGGGTCCGTGTTGAATGACAAATTATGTCCAAACTGTGTCTCCGTACAACTCGGTTCAAATTATGCAGTCGTTCTGAGGGTCCTCATTGGAGATGCCCTTAGTAGCAATCGGTGCTCATCTCTTTGATTGTACCACCACGGAGTTCTCCTCAGCATGAGAGACAAGCACGCAACCACTCCACTCCCATCCAGAAAGACACGAGAAAAACAGAGCAATGAGAAAGAAACAGAGCACTGGACAGAGAAATGTGACCGATTCAGAGCACTGGACCGAGGGGGTGCAAAGCTCAGTGAACCCGGCGGATCCGCACACGGTTTTGGGG